CTGGGGACTGGTGAGGAGGCCCTGAGATGAGACAGGCAATGAGGAGGCCCCTGCCTCCTGGCATGGCTGACACTGGCAGGAAGCCTCCTGGATGCTCCACTCCTGGCCACGCTGGCCTCCCCACTCTGTGTCCTCAGCAACCTGCAGGGCCTGCTCCGTAGGCCTGCTGGGGCCCGTCCTCCCAGGTTCCTGAGACCAGCTTGTTGCCTCCTGTAGTGTGTGTGTGCAGGACCGTAAGCACCCTGATGACTTCCTTTGCCTTCATGGCTCTCAGAGCACCCAGGGTGCTGCTCCTCTCAGCCTGGGCCCAGAGCTGCTCTCCCTGTTGATTGCTCTATGGCTCACACCTTCTACTCTTGGCCACTTGTCAGGTGTCTGGGACTCCCTGGCTACACCAGCGTCAGCTACCTCTCCAGGAGCCAAATTCTCCACTATTGACTCTGGGGTGCTCTGCCCTATGCACCCCACTCTGCTTATTGCACCAGCAGGCAGCTGGGTTCCAGGGTGCGTTGCCTACTGTCAGCACCCCATCTTGGCCCTGGTGGGGAGTGGGCTTTTTGCTCCCCAGGAAGCTGAGGTTGTAGTCGGTCTCCGTGGCAACGGCTCTGCTGGTTTCCTCATCCCTGGCAGGTAGCTCTTCCCGCTCTCCAGCTCTGAGGCCCAGAGCTCCTTCCTAAGGCCACCTGGTACTGGGGCTAAGGAGAACCTGCCACTTTGTCCCTCCATGCTGGTTGTAACCCCCGGCCCCTGCTCACGGCTCTCATTACTTCCAACAAAGCTGGATTTGAAACTCCAGCCCAAGGTCACCACCTCCAGGCACCACACTGGCCTCAGCACCACCATCCCAGGGGACAAAGGACAGGCTCACACCTCCCTTGGCACGTTTTGTTCCCTCTGCCTGCAAAGCCTTTGCTTCCTGTTTTGAGACAAGGTCTCACTATGTAGCCCAGGTTGGCCTTGAACTTGAGGTGATCCTCCTGCCTCAGCCTCCCGAGGGCTGGGGTTAGACCTCTGCCTCTCCACTCCCTCTTGCACTGCCTCTCTTCCACCTCATGCCCCTGCTGCAAACTCCAGCTCAGATTTCAAGGCTCCCTCTCAGCTTGTCCCTCTGGCCTTGACCTACATCATACCTCCCCTCTCCAGCAGAAGCCAGGAGCTGAGAATTTTCCTTTAAAAAAAAAATTGTCAGCAAGGAAGTCAACTTTGCTGGGACCTAAGGGTGCTCCAGGTTGTGCTGTCCCTGATCCCCAGGTCCCTAGTTGCTTTAACTCCTGCACAGGGATGCAAGGCTGGCAGGCAGGTTTGGAGAGGGAGGACATTTACCTAAAGTCTTGTT